CTACTACTACTACCACTATTGCTACCAATACTACTACTATTAGGACTACTACTACTGCTACTACTACTACTACTACTACTACTACTGCAACTTCGAAGTATTTGATATTTCATACAAATAGTAGTTTGGAACTAGTACGAGTTCCAAACTACTATTTGTATGAAAAATCAAATACTTCGAATGACAAGTTTCATGATTTGTGCTTTCACAACTGCCCCGACTAATATAGCACCAGTGGTTGGCTTATTCCGAAAGTACACACTCATGCTGATATCATAATACACATACAGTATATGTTGATGTATGTATGGTGGTCTCTAGTCCCGGTGACATGCTGGCAGTTGCAGTAAAATGTGCAAGCCCAGTTAAGGTACATCAGGAAGATTTGGTCGGCCCCAACTACGGCCTTGTGAGGGAGTTCTTGCTAGAGCTTGCGCCTGAAGTGCCGAGCAATGCCGATTTCCAAGTTCCTCGATTGCACGGTGTGGATTGTGACTTTCAAAGCTACTTATGGAGATTGTTCGCACTCGTATTTGGCTTGTGCGGTTTGAGGCGGCTCTCGGCCTGGTGGCAGTGACTGTGTATGCAGGCACTGATTTCCAACTCCGAGGAGGCCGGGGGAAAATACGCTCCTGGGCGCAGGGACAAGCGTCGATGCTCAAGGGCCTTATTGCTTGGATAATTCGTCAAGAACAACGATCCCACAATTCCAGATCAGACAGAATAACCGTGCTCAAGAAAATCATCCAAATCAAGAGAGCTACGCAAAGCTTGCCTCCGGTTGTGCATGAAGTTGCCTCTGAGTTTTGACTGCAAGAGCCTACTGGCAAATCAGGTGGTTATGTATTCATTGGTGGTTTGATTCAAGCTTTTGCTGTCAGCCTTAAGCCGAGGATGTGCTGCCATCTGCGAGCTCAACCGAGCTGCAGCTGGTTCCCCACAACACGGTGGTCCAGGCTCTGTTGCGTTTCTGTTCGGAGGATTCAGTTTGAACATTGTGAATGCCTAGGAACCGGAAGCAGAAGCAACAGCAAAGTCGCCAGAGCCAAAGGGTGATCTTTCGACTGTGGCCCGAATGGCATGGGAGTTTCCAGAAGAGCAGGACTTTTGCCTGCATGTGAGTGCAAGGGTATTACCTATTAATTGGTTTGTCATGTTCAATCTTCTGGATGTCTTGCTACCAGGAACCGGGATCAGAAGCAACAGCAAAGTCACCAGAGCCAGAGGGTGATCTTTCGATCGTGGCCCTAGATGCTTGGGAGTTCCCAGAGGATTTGCAACATGATGTGGAGAGTGAAGAGGACAGGACTTCCTGTTCATGGAACATTAACTTGAAGTGTATTTGGTGTCTATTTGCTGGGTATGTTAAGAACCTGCCGTCAGGAACGGAGCCCCTTAGCGGTGCAAGATGCCCAGCTTCTCACTCCAGCAGCACATGTACATGGTCTTCGCAGCAAGACTCCAGAGGAGGACAGCAAATAGCAGCTAGCAATAAGTGGGCATTACATTCAATGATACTGTTGCTGAGTGCTTCGTGGGTATATTATTATTAGAGCTCAGACAACACTATGTCAACAACAATTACAATGTATGCAAACCACATAATAAATATGTGCAATAAGAGTTGGACATGTATGCCTGCATATGGGTTTTGCATAAACATGTGTAATTCATGATATATATGAACCTATTCATGTATGAGATATGACTACGTGTTTGCGATGGTTTCTTTACTATACTCGAGAGTACGCAGACATATATATATATATATATATATATATACGTATACATACATATGCACACATAATATATATATATATATATTAAAACAATTGCTATATATATATATATATCAATATCTCAGCCCCGACATATATAGCTGTCTGCATATACATATATATATATATGTATAATATAGACATGTGTGTGTGCTGCAGGTACAACACGTGTGTGTATCCCGCAAAGCTTTCTTGCATTGTGTATATGTGTAGTCTGACATGCATGGAATGAAGGACGCTGTGCAGTCCAAGATTCGTGGGGAGGTGGCTGACTTGGAGCTGGCCCAGTCTGCCCTTGTACCGCTGCAGGGCATGCGCAAGGATTTGGGTCCAGTGTTTGATCAGGCTACCTGGAAAGCATGCTATATCAGAGTGTATGTGATGTGCACATATCATGTGATGCCTGTGCTAGGTTGTTGTAACACCGCGGAAGCCTGCGATTCGTTATCGTACTCCCATGGTGTCGCCACCCGTGTTGCCACCTTTGACTCCACCAGAGGGTGATACACCTTCCACCGTGCCCTTCGAAGTGGTCATGCCAGCACCTCGGTCGGCTGAGTGCCATGGAGAGGACGATGGTTACAAGTCTCCTCGGCACATGCTGGATACTGCTGAGAGGGATGCCCTCATGGACCAGGTTTCTAGATTGCATGTTGCATTAGCAAGGTGGTCAACTGCAAGTGGTAGTGTGTTGCATCTAAGACTTCTTTGCCGACGAAAGTGGAGCCGATGTCACCAATGAATCCGAGTTCGGAGAGATTGAGAACACGACCTCCTTTCCCTGAACTCCCGAACTTCCCAACGTGGATTCCAAGGACCAGCGCAGGACCCGATCTTCAAACGGCGACAAAACTGCCCCCGATCCCCCCGAGCCTGGTGATGAGTCAAAAGGCAGTTCGGGAGGAAGTGACTCAGGCGTCCGAACTTGATTAGTTGATTGAGGATCTGTTGCCAGCCATGATATGTGAGATCGGTAATTTTGCATGATTCCAAGGCAGAGCTTTGTGTAGCCCAGCAGAAGCTGGAGCAGAAGCGCACAGGCAAGGAGAGCCGAGGTCGCGGTGGTGGTAGAGGTAGACAGGGAAACAAGGAGGGACAAGGTCGTGCCAGCACACGTGGTCGTGCTGGCGCACGCGCACGTGGAGGCCGTGCTGCCGGCAGGACTTCGAAAGGCGGCGGTGGCAGCCGTGGTCGTGCTGGCGCAGGCCGTGGTGGCCGACGTGGTCGCGCAGGCACACAAGGCCGTGGTGGCACACGTGGTCGTGCAGCCCACCGCGGCCGTGGATGCAAAAGAGATGACCAAGGTCTGCAGACCACCGAGGGTGGGAGGAAAGAACTGTCGACCTCAAAGCCGAAAGCCAAGTGTTCAACCGTGAAGAATACGAAGAACAAGAGGAAAGGGTCCGAGGAGGTGCTGCACACCCCAACGAAGGCCCGCACATCCCCGGGCCAGTTCCTGACCCAAACCGTCAAGAGGAGGCGGGTTCAGTTGGCGTTGCAAAACCTCGACTTCCTCAAAGAGAATGCGCATGTGCTCCAGGATCTCAGTTTCCCTCCAGCCTCCTTTAACAGACAGTCGTACACCCTTGAAGGCCCTACTGAGGGCAAAAAGGGAGCTGTTGGGGGCCAACCGTCCCAGATCTCCGTAATCCTGGACAAGAACCTATTCTATGTTGGTAGAAGTGCTCGGGTGGCACCGGAGTTGGCCAAATGGGCATCTGTGCCTTGACATGTAGAAGTATCGGGGGATTACTCTCTGTCGACCTGTATATGTGTACATGTCTCTGTATATATATATATATGCATATAGCTGTATCTGCTAATGTAGGTCTGTAGTTTGTGGCTGTGTTTGTGCTGCTCATGTACACATGTACATCTACACGTGTATTTGTGTACATATATATATATATATATATATGTGCACAGTATGTCTATACTTAATGTACATGCACCGTGATACACACACACACACACACCTATATATATATATATATACCGGATTCGAATATCCATATAATATATAACATATCGGTATAAGATATACCAACCGAAGCTAAACTAATGGATCCATTCCCCTGACCTTAACTCTAAGCCACCTCTCAGGTCGATCGCAAAGGAGGAGCCACGATTGGCTGGTACAAGAGCCCGAACATCAAGGTTGCGTGGTGTGGCTGCAATTAATATCAGAGTACACATACTCGCGCAGACATGTCTGTTCCTACCGTTTCCATGTAGTTCGTGACTATGCAGCTACAGAGCATTCTGAGTAGTTTTGCACATGTGCATACAGCACAGGCTATGCATCTAGACATAGAAGTTTGTAAGCATGTCATCTAATGCGGCAATGCATCAGAATACTTTATAATAGCCAGTGCTAGCATGGCCCTATGAACATGTACTATGTACATGGCCACACATATATGGATCGATCGAGAATTAGGTCAGTCTGAGCCATGCTCAGTTTGAACAGCCTCAGCTCTATAATCCGATCACGAAATACAATAACCATCGCCGAGGTGGGAACTCGCCAAAGCGGTGGCTGGCTGGACATCCCCCACTCTCGACACTTGTCCCAATTTTTTGTTTCTGCACTCTTGCCATGTCGCGGCCACGTGTCTGCACAAGCCCGACTTGGGACCTGGATCCTCTTAGCTATAAAAATAATAATGTTGCTGTTGTCAAACAAGGTATCCATGCGACTAGCTGCTGCACAAGCTGATGATGGATCTGCTACCGCTGCTTGAATGATGCCAGCTGCAAAGCACGACCACTGTAGGATGTGTGTATGTCGGGCTTAATATTATAATGCCATATCCCAGGTACACAATAGAAGGACTTTAGTTCTAAACACGATGTGCCCGCGCGCAGCATCCGAAGACGGTGCACTGGACGCTTTTAACTGATCATGTCCTGTGCCCACACACTTCTGCTCCAGAGAAACTTGCTCGGCTTGAAAAACAATCTGTGGATGCTACTTCTCGATGGGAGTCACTTCTTAACCAATGCCGAACGGAAGTATAACAGTGATCTGCGCAGGTGCTGGATCCAGATCCGAGTCGACGTTCACTGGTGCACCCTCCTTCGAATGCATGCCTGTTGTTTCCGAGAGCTGCCGGTGTGCTGCAGTTGCAACATCAGTTCCTATTGGATCTGTCGGGCTCTAGTTGCACAGCTAGTGGGCTAGATTTGTTTGGTGTCACTTCGCATACATCCCCTATAGTGAATTGCTGCATATTAAGGCTCACCACTTCAGCAAAGTTAAAGGGCAGGTCGTCTTGTCTGTGTGCAATATTCTGCTGTTCAGCTGCGAGCCTTAAGTTTACTGAAGTGGCTTAAACCAGACTGCATAGTACTTCACTCACAGCTAGGCTTGAAAGTCTGGCCCAGCTAGGAGGTGCACCTGCTGAGGTTTCTTACTCTTGTGAAGGAGCCATGGAAGAAGCTCCACGAAGAGCTATGGGCCTTACCAGGCTTCAAGTCTGTGCTTTACTGGCTCTCGGAGCGCCACCGGTGCTGCCACTTGTCCGATCGAATGAAGGGGTCACAGTGTCACCCGTACTAATCACCCATGTCCTGTCCTATATATTATAATTTATTCCACGAACCATAAACGATGATTAATATTAATCTAAGGATACATATCGTGGACTACGTCGCCGCCGTTGTCTCGCGAGAAGTGTACCGAGCCCCAAGGCATGCAATACAAGATCTGTTCAATACATACATATTATATATATATATATGCAGACTATATATATATATATATGCAGACTACCATTGCATCCCCTACCCAGGACTTGTCGTGCTTCGAGATGTTCGCCGGTGTGGGGGCTGTGGTGAAAGGCTTTCGTGGCTTGTCATGCAGTTCCTGGCCCGAGATACCGGTTACATAGCATCTAGCGCATTACGAGTTAGCCTAGTGATACCCATACGAAAGCTGTTTGTGGAGACCCTTACGATATATATATATATATATATATATCTATATATATATATATACATGGTATGGTAGAATAGCCCTTTTCCCAAGGAGCCCGCGGCCACAGGGCGCAACTCGGCATCGAATTGAAATGCATATACCTAGCGCCTGGCAGTACTAGTACATGTTTCTTCGTGGTGTCAATTTTAGTACTGAGGCAAGGCTTCGAGAGGGAGGATGACTTGGTGTTTCAAGACCTCCTTCGGCCTGCGGGGTTTGTGACTGCTTGTCGTGGTGTGCTACGGGTAGTGGAGCTGGGGCTACTCTATGGCGCAGTACCATGCTCCAGCTATGTCTTCATGTCTGCTGGGTCACACCGTAGATCAGCAACGCATCCCTGGGGTGAAGAGAGGCTCCCTTTCGTCTATGATGGAAATGCCTTGGGATGCAGGTTCCTCTTGCTTTGCCTTGTGGCCACAGTTCGGAATGTGAAGTGGATGCTGGAGAACCCTCGATGCACAAGTCTCGGGCTGCTGCCCCCGCTGAAGTACTTAATGGCCAAGCCGATCGGAGGACAATTTGCTAACTGGTCCGAAGCCTAGTTGTTGCACTAGCTGCAGAAGTCACCGTAGCTAGCTGCAATGCTCTAGCCATTAAGAATAGCTGAAGAAGAAGTAGTAAGTAGTAATCCTCATCGAACAAGTACCACCCTTAATAGTAGGAGTTTGTAGTTGATCTCTAGTACCAGATCTTTACTTCGAATTCCCAGCTGGGGTTTGGTCTTTCACTGAGATGATATCCCCAGACTCTGTGTTCTTGTCACGAGCAAGGGTTTCGGATCTGCTACAGTTTTAAAGGTTGAAAAGTCTCGTGTATGTATATATATATATATA